GTGCTGGGGGATTGAACCGCGGTCCCTGATGCTTTTGCTAAGCTTGTTCTAAGTAGGTGCTTTAGACCACTGAGCCATCTCTCCAGCCCCACCAGTGTTTCTTGAAACAAAGACTGAATCATCTCATAGAACAAAAATCACAAAAAGAATAGTGAACCAACAAGTAAAGAAGAAATGAAAGTTTGTATAATATTGTATTTCCATATTAAAATTTAGCATCAAAGCACTTGTATGCCCAGAAGTTTTTTTTTTTGTTGTTGTTGTTGGGCATTCTGTCATGTGTTCTAATTTTTGCCATTTCCATAGAGGTCACTTGAGTCACTACTTAAAAGTTCAGGCTTCTGTGATTGCTCCGTTTGTAAAACCAAAACCATATTTAGTGAAATTACATTTTATAAATACTTTCATACTTTTGTTATTGAAAAATACTATCGTCGTTAGACTTTATTTTTGCTTTAATTGACTAGGGCAAATATAAAATGTACATATTAATGGGTCCAATACATGTACACATTACAGAATGTTTACGTCAAGCTAAACATATTTACTTCCTTAAACATTTATCATTCTGTGGGGAGTGGCAGAGCTGGAGATCAACCACACCTTCGAGGCTAGAACAGGGCCAGCCCCCAAATCACAAAGTGCCAGAGTGAGCAGGAGGACAAGCTATGGGACTAGAGCAAAGCCTGTCCTGCAAGAGTCCAACCTTGGTGTTCCTCCCTGTTAACTACAGCCAGAGAGCTCTGAGAAAGTTTTGCTTACAGTGTTCTCAATGAAACACTGAGACCTTGCATTTTTGCAAAGTCCCCATTGTGTACTTCCCCGTTTTTACTGTGTATAAGAAAGACATGCTGGGTTGTCACTGCCTCTGTCCAGCAAAGAGGTCAGGTCCCAACCAGGCCCAGCTTTTTTTAATGTGTCTTATTGGCTGGTAGTCTCCTGTCATCCCCTATCAGGACTCCACTGGCTGTGCAGGTTGTGGTATCATTTGTTCTACTTTTTATTTTTTATTTTATTTATTTATTTTTTGTACTGGGGATCAAGCTCAGGATCTTGCATTTGCCAGGCAATTAATTATTTATTTATTTTAATACCAAGAATTGCACTCCCACATGCCAGGCAGGCACTCTGCCACTGAGCTATGTCTCCTACAGTGTAGTATCATTCTTTGTAGTGAAACTTTCAAAATCATCCTTCTAGCCTTTTAAAATGCACAATACATCATTGTCATTTATAATTTAGTCATAATACTGTGTTGCAGAACCCCAGATCTCCTTGCTTTTATGTGTCTGTAACTTAGGACACACTGACCCACACTCCATCCCTTATTATCCTTCACCTCTAGTAACTGCCACTCTAGTCTCAGCTTCCATGAGGAGTTTTTTAGGTTCCACATATGAGGGAGATCATGCAGCCTATACTTCTGTGCCTGGTTTATTTTACCTACCATGCCCTCTAGTTTTATTCATGTTACATAGGACAGGCTTTCATCCTTTTTATGACTGATTAGTAATGCATTATGTATAGGCATATTTTCTTTATTCATTCGTCAAGTTGTGGACACATAGGTTCGTCTCCATTTTTTGGCTATTTTTAACAGTGCTGTAATAAACATGGAGATATAGATGCCTTCTGTACATGGTCATTAATTTCCTTTGGATGTATACCAAGACTTGGATTTGCTAAATTGTATGATAATTCTACTTTTAATGTTTGAGAAATTCTATATTATTTTACAGAAAGATGCAATTAATTGACACTTTCACCAAAACTGTGAAAGAGTTCTTTTTTCCTCTACAATCTCACCAGCAATTGTTATCTTTTGTCTTTTTGATAATACCCCCTTCTTATTACAGCCAGGTGATATTTCATTATAGTTTTGATTTACATTTTCTTCCCTTTTTTAAAAATCCTGCCTCAGGTTTATTTGTACAAAGAGCACACGAGGACACTACCGCCTTACAGATGGCACCCCAGGGGTCACACCAGTTCTGGTTTTACATCAGCAGATAAGAGGCTTTTACTGTGGAGCCTTTATAGGGGCTTGGGCACTTTTGGGACCCTAGACTGGAGCAGAAGCTGAAGACTGGCTCCTGGCTGGAGCAGAAACTGGAGCCTGGGCCTTTGCTGGATCAGAAGCTGGAGACTGAGCCTTGGCTGGAGCCTGGGCCTTTGGCTGGCAAGACCTGCAACAGTTGGCAATGCAGTCACAGATATGCTTCCCCAACTTGGGGTGGGCAATGTAAGCAAGTCGAGTGAGCTTGTAGTTTACTACCTTTGGGGTGATTTTAAGCTTGACCTCCTTGGGCTTGACAAAGGCCTTGATAGCCTTGGTGCATGCATTCATGACCTTGGCATTGTTTGCTTGCATCTTCTGGAAGCCCTTCTTATTGTGCTTCTTGGCAAAATGCATGTTCCTAAGGAAAAGTGTGTATTCATCTCCTATGGCCAGTTTTTGATTGGGTCTTTGAATTTGGGGGATCTGATTTTTAAAAATTCTTTATATGTTCTAGGTAGAAGGCTCTTGTTGAATGGACAGTTGGCTATAATTTTTTCCCATTTAGTGGGTTTCCTTTGCACTCTGTTGGAGTTTCATTTTTGAGAAGAAACTTCAAAAAGATGAGATCCCGGTTGGTAATTTTTTTGCAGTATTTCTCATGCAGTTTGGTTTTTGTTTATGAACTCTCTACTTACCCCTATGTCTTAAGATTTCTACTTACATTTTCCTTGAGAAGATTTAGTGTTTCTGTTTTAATATTTAAATTTTGATCAGTTTTGACTGTAGTTTAGTGCATGGTGACAAACATGAGTCTAATTTTAGCCTTCAGCCTGTGGAAAAACCAGTATTTCTAGCACCATTTATTGAAAAGACTACTTTAGTGAACATGTTTGGACCTTTATTAAAGCTTCATTTTGAGATTGATTCCGAAGTATTTCGTTTTTTGGTCTTATTGTGAAAGGCATCATTTCTATAATTTCTTTCTCAGTTCATTCATTGTTTGTGTATAGAAATGCTATTGAGTCCTAGCCCAGGTCCAGGTGAGTGTGTGGAGAGCTTCCTGCTAACCTGTGCTGGCGGGACCAGTCCCAGCCCAGGTGCAGCTTGGGCCTGACCCTCTCCGACCCCCTCGGGCCGCCCCCCACTACTCCGCTGTACCTCCCCTACCCCTCCTGTCCAGTAGGAATTTCTGCTGACTTCCGTGAACCCCCAGACCCAGTCCTAGCCCAATTCTGGTGAGTGTGTGGAGAGCTTCCTGCTAACCTGCGCCGGCGGGACCAGTCCCAGCCCAGGCACAGTGTGGGCCGGACCCTCTCCCACCCCCTCGGGCTGCCACCCACCACTCTGCCATACCTCACCCACCCCTCCCGCCCAGTAGGAATTTCTGCTGAGTTCCAGGAATACCCGGACCCAGTCCTAGCCCAGGTCCGCAGCGGGAAGGAGCTGAGCACAGCAGCCAGACCTAAGCCAGATGCAGCTGGATAAGTCCAAACTCTGTAGAG